GTCATTTTACATCCAGCAGTTTTATGCTTTACTTTGAATTAGCTATAAATTACTCTTCATCCACCAAAGACAATACAGAATGCCTTTGCATGAAAAGTTTGAACATTTCACCAGCAACTCATCTCCTTCCTTAAAAGTCCCTCTTGACACCAGGCTGCACCACATACTCAACATTTAAAATAAGAATAATTCTATTGAAATTGGAATTAGGGTCTCCAAGTGAGATAAATGGATAAGTTCTAATGAACATCTAAAAGTGGTACAAAGTAGAATGAAATTGGGTGTGACGACCCAAAGGGTCATCACCAATTTTCTTATCCATTCTGTGCTTCCGAGACCTTGAAAACCTCATTTATAGTCGTCTCGTTTTGCGTGCGCAGTCCGGGCGCGTAGCCGGAAGGCTTAAATGTGAAATTGTGTGAAAAATGCTAAATTTTGGTATTAAAATGAATAAATTTGACTTGGGTCAACATTTTGGGTAAACGGACCCGAACCCGGACCCGTGCTTTGACGGTCCCGGAGGGTCCGTAGGAAAATATGGGACTTGGGCGTATGCCCGGAATCGAATTCCGAGGTCCCAAGCCCGAGAAATGAATTTTTGAGTAAAGTTGTTTTCTGAAAATATTTAAGGAAATTGGAAATGAAATCTGATTAGAAAGTGATGGTATCGGGCCCGTATTTTGGTTCAGGCACCCGGTACAGGTCTTATGGTTTAAGCACTTTCTGTAAAGTTTGGTTAAAATCGGACGTCATTTGACGTGATTCGGATTTAAAGTTCTAAATTTGAAACTTGATGAAGTATGAGAAAAATTCTTAATTTTGAGGTTTAATTCGATGTCTATGATGTTATTTAGGCGATTTGGTCGCACGGATAAGTTCATATGATGTTGTTGAGTTAGTTCATGTGTTTGGTTAGGAGTCCCGAGGCCTTGAGTGTGTTTCGGAGGTGTTTCGGGATGGTTTTGGACTTATAAAAGTTGCAGGTTTCCAGTTCTGGTATGGCCTTCTTCGCGTTCGCGGGAGAACCCTTGCGAACACGGTGAGTAAATATTGCTGAAGGAAAAATTCCTTCAATGCGAACGCGTAAACCAGGTCGCGAACGCGAAGCATTGGGGGGGGGGGGGTCTCCCTTCGCGAACGCGGGCCTGGAATCGCGAACGCGTAGGGTACAGGGGGAAGGGTCACCAATTGTTCTTCGCGAATGCGTCGCTAGCACGCGAACGCAAGGCTCGAGGAGATTACTCTCCGCGAACACGAGCCCCAGTACGCGAACTCGAAGGCTTAAACAGCTTGACCTATCGCGAACGCGAGAGGTCGATCGCGAACGTGTAGAGTTAAATCGCCCAGCTATTTTTAAAAACCCCAAAACAGAACCATTACGGGAGTTCACCAAAATTTCACAAACTCTTTCTTCTCCAAAGTTCTAGGGCGATTTTTGAAGCATTCTTTCACCACAATCTCTTGGGGTAAGTAATCTCTAACAAGTTTCTTCCATTTTCATCAACATCTAATGAATTTCTAGGCCTAAAATATGTAATTAAGGGTAGAAATTAGAGAAATGGGTAGGGTTAGGGCTTTTTAATTTTTCTTGATTTAGACCTTGTTTTGGGGTCGAATTTGAAAACAAATTATATATTCGGGCTCGTGGGTGAATGGGGGATTTGATTTTGGACCGAACCTCGTATATTGACCAAGCGGGCCCGGGGTCGATTTTTGGGATTTTGGGAAAAAAGTTTGGAAATCTATAATTAGGCATTGGGCTTGATTTGTTTACTATGTATTGATGTTATGACGTCATTATTGTATAGATTTGATTGATTTGGAGCCGAATTCGAGAGAAAAAGCGGTTGTTGAGGATTGATTTGGCCGTGGAAGTTGAGGTAAGTGTTCGGTTTAACCTTAGCTTGAGGGATTAGGAGTTGAGTCATATTTGTTATGTATTTCTTGTGGATTTTGACGTATAGGCATGGTGACGAGTATCTATACGTCGGTGTCAAGCATGACCGTGAGTCTTAAATTGACATTTTGTGTTCTTGAATAATACTATGGATGAAATAGTGAGTAGACTTGTGATATTGAGCAAAGGCTTAGCTTATTTTCGTGGAAGTTAATCATGAGCTAGAAATGGTGATAATAGAAATGTTAAAATTCGAATTGAGATTGGTTATAGCTAGTTCTCCCTTGTCGGGATGAGTATACTTGTACTGCTGAGTTCCCTTGCCGGGATAGAGTATTCTATGATTAATCCCCCTGCCGGGATTTGTGGTTATGATTACTGTAAGCTATGTATATTTGGAACGGGTTGCGCGCCGCAACATACGTTATATTGGATCGGGTTACATGCCGCAACACATATTGCATTGGGCCGGGTTGCACGCCGCAACATATATTGTATTGGGTCGGGTTGCGCGCCGCAACAGGTGTATATTATAATTAGTGGATCGGGTTGCACGCCGCAACAATTATATTTATACGTACGGATCGGGTTGCGCGCCACAACAGTAGTGTTATCATATTGTTTTAGACATTGTACTGTTCCTTCATATTTAATTCAGTTTCTGCTAAGTTGAATTGTTTCCCCGAGGCATGTACCCCCTCCCTTATAACTACTCATTACTTGTTTATTTTTCTGCAATATTTTATATAACTGCATAGGTTTGTCTGGAGTCTGGTACTAGCCTCGTCACTACCTCGCCGGGGTTAGGCCAGACACTTACCAGCACATGGGGTCAGTTGTGCTGATGCTACACTCTGTGCTCTTTTGCACAGATCCAGGTGTTGGACAGCAGCTGCAGTAGCTCGGGAGTTAGCCTTCAGTCCAGCGAGACACCGAGGTAGCCTTGCAGGCGTCCGCAGGCCCGGCATCTCTCCTATCTTTTATTTCAGTCTGTTATCTCATGTATTTCGAGACAAACAGTTATATTTTCTTTCAAACGTTTGTATTTAGCACTCTTAGTAGTTCGTGAGTATGTGACACCAGTTCTTGGGTACAGGTTTATGTTGATTTCAGTATTGTTGTTCAGATTCTTTAATTTAAGACTTCCGCTTATTTATTTTATTCCGTTGTTTTTCCGCTTATTTATTTTATTCCGTTGTTTTCACGATATTGCTGATAATTGTTAAAAGAGGTAAATTGGTTAATGACAAAGATAATTAAGGGTTGACCTGCCTAGCTCTCATTAGTAGGCGCCATCACGACTCTCGAGGGTGGAAAATTCGGGTCGTGACACTGGGACCGTCAAAATATATGTTATGGCCCTGTGAATCTCAGACGGCTGGAAAAGGAAAAGAGATTAAACAATCACATCTTTACCAATAAGATTAAGCAAAAGCAGGCCAATCTTACAAAGGAATAGTTTTGGTTGCTAGACCTTTAGTATGATTCAGTTCAGTAGTTTAGTTGTCTGAAATACATGTTTAGTGTGTCTTTTTTATTCAGTTCAAATAAACTGGGTAGATTATGAGATAAAAAATATTCCACATATCATGTTGAACCTGAAAAGGGATATGATACTTGATCTTCTTTACTTTTTTTCTTTTGGGGTGGGTAGGGGCTGGACATTAAAATACTAAAGGACATACTAAATTTGATTTGGTAGATAAATCGAATTGAGAATAAATGTGGGAGAGAATATATATCAGATGCACAATTATTTGTACTGCCTTGCAGTTGGCAAAACCACTATATCAATTGTATATATAGCAAAAACAACAGCACCTAGCAAATTACTTTACCTTTATCTCATGTAGCTGAAGGAAATACTTGGATTGCAGGTCCTCACCTCTACTTGTTGGCAGCTCTGGACATATATGAAAGTATAAGGTATTTGCTACATTCATCATAAATGCTGAAATAAAACAGAATTAATCTAAAGAAGAGAGTTGAAGAACCAGCTATGACTTTCTACCAATTGCTATTTTAAAAAAAGAAGAAGCAGGAGATTTGACTACCTTAGAGTTTATCACTAATTAATGTTATAATATTGAGAATTGAAATGGTAATCAAGATGAAACTTCGGCAGTTTATATGGCATTAACCAGTGTTCTGAAATTTTTTATCACTAATTAATGTTATAATATTGAGAATTAATGTTATAATATCTGAAAAATGCTTTGAAAGTTGTATTTTAGTTTTATAATGAATTAGAAAAGGTTTTGGGGTCATCTCAAGACTATAGATTATGGAAGACAATGTCAAAAATGCGGGAGTCGGGTATAACTTATATAACTGCTTTAAAATTGAAAGGGGTCACCTGAGTATCATTGTGTTCCCATGAATCATATCCGTTCAATGAAACTAGAACATCTAATTTTTATGTATTCATAGCACTGGCTGGCAAAAAACTGTACCATTGGGTTTAAGCTTGATTTAAACAAAGTTGATTGTATACATAGAAGATAAATAAAATTACCTCTTCATCTTTCGAAAAAAAAAATTCTGAAATTTCATCTTTCTCTCATGACTTTCTCGTTCTCAACTTATGTCCAATACTTTGAATTTTGCATGTCCTATCGGGTGCAACTGGTGTTATATGATTAATGTTGTGTACCGTGATGTTTGATACCTGACACCTAATTGGACATGCAAAGTTTAAGTTCTAAACAGAAGTTGAGAACGATAAAGTCACGAGAGAAAAGATAAAATTTCAGAATCTTATGTTACATGATGAAGAGGTAAATTTATTTATCTTCTCTGTGTATAATTAAACTTTGTTTAAATCAGCTTAAATAGATTTTCTTTTAGTCCAATAGTGCAGTTTTTTGCAATCAGTATTATGAGTACATAAAAGACTGGTGGTCTTGTTTTTATTGGAAGTTTATGATTCATGAGAATATAATGAATGCTTTGGTGACCTCTTTTTTCTTTAAAGCAATTATATATGCTATCTGACTCTGTCGCTTTTGACTTTGTCTTTCATCACCTTTAGTAATGAGACAAATAAAACTTCTAATTAGTTGTAAAGTAGCATACAATTTCCAATGCACTTTTCAGATATTAATAAGTCCGATTCAAGAACGATATGAGAATAAGCTTTTTTCAAACAGCGGTTAATTCCATACAAACAACCGAAGTTTCATCTTGATTACTATTTCAATTCTTGAAATAAAATGTCATAGATATACTTTGAAAGACTGGAAGACCTTGCGGGCGAAACTGAGACTGCAAAGGCTGCTGGTGAGTATGATGACCCTGTTGGTGTGTCTGACTCTGCAATGGACCAGGAAATGCCTGCTGTTGACTGTATTGCTGAGACATTGGTTGTTGATTAGGCTGAATAGGATGTTGCTGATTAAATGCCCTGCTTGTAGAGCAGGATAAAGTTGAGACTGTGCAGGAGTTGGACCTTGAGAAGGTACCAAGCCCCATTGCTTATTGGTGCGCAAAGGAGGTTGTTGAGGAACCTGACTATGAGATTGAGTTGGAGGAATAAGCCCACTAGTAGGATGTGGACGTATTGGTGTTTGCTGTGTAAACCCTATAGGCATTTGCTGTATGGGCTGGGGCTGTGGATAGGAATTGTACCCTGAAACAGCATTGGCTGTTGAATGGAGGGTTTGAGTCTGTCCATGAGCAGGTTGGCCAGCCTGAGGGGGGCGCAATTAGCCATGAGATTGTTGATGAGGTTGAACACTTATCTGCGGTTGAAGTTGTGAATGAGGTTGATGCACAAACAGCTGCGGTTGGGCTTGAGAAGACTGGGGAGGGTGAACCTGGGCAGGATGCTGCTGATACTGTGGCACCTGTACATGGTGTTGTGAATGAGGTTGCATCGGATAGGGCTGAGGATATGGCGGAGGCTGAGTAGGTGGCTGAGCATGAAAAGCTGGAAATATTTGTGATGGAATTTGGGTATGAGAATGCCCAGTAGGTGGAAACTGCTGTTGTGAGTTGACTTGAACCTGGTTTTGATGTTGCTGAGCCATAGCTTGAACTTGTGGTTAAGTTGGCCCTTTAGGTAGAGCTTGCATTTGAGGTTGAGGTTGAGATTCAATGGTTGCGGCTGGGGCTGGGATCGAGGCTGTCCTGGGATTGGGGTCTGGGGTTGTGCTGGTGGATGCATGTAAATTGGAGGTTGTTGCTAATATTGTTGGACGGGTTGTTGCTGATAGGGATAGTATTGTTGATAATTTTGCTGTTGATAATGATCATATCCAGCATATTGCTGAAAATACTGTTGATATTGTTGCTGGCAGTGGCGGATGTACATTGATGGTTATGGGTGCTCAAGCACCCATTACTTTTGGAGTGATGAACTATGATTTATATAAAAAGCTAGTAATTCTTACAAATATATAACTTGAGCACCCAGTCGTAATAGTAATTTTCAGATAAATAATATTTCAGCACCCATGACTTAAAAATACTAGATCCGCCACTGGTTGCTGATACCACTGATCTGAAGTAGGCACACCAGCTGAAGCTGTAGCAGGAGCCTGAGAGCTGGCACTTGTCTGCTGATTCGGATCTTGTCCATGAAGTGGGGAAGCAGCAGTGCTTTGAGGATTTGGTGTTTGAGAAGCTGGAGTTCTTGAATGAGTTGTAGTCTGATTTGAGTCATCACCAGCACCACTGGTGGCTGCTCCAAAGCTAGGATTATCTTGGGCACCATTAGCTGCCTGTTGTGCAGGATATATACCCTGGATAGAAGATATACTAAGAAATCATTCCTTATAGGAAAAGATGAGTACTACATATGCATGAAAAGCACTCACAGGACAACTCTGAGCATGTTCATGCACTTGTCGACGCACAATCTGGACTCCACATCTATTGCATATAACAGGAGAATTCCCAAAGGAACATCCAGAACAATGGGAAGTGCATTCAGACAAGGGACCTTCCTATGTGCATCCACTTCTGTGATAGAGACAGCGCACTTTAACTTTGCCTGTGTTTTCAGCAAGTGTCTTGTCTGACTCGATAAGGGGCTGCATTCATTGTGATTACAATTTGTTAGGTATTATTTGTTTCTTGTTCTTTGGTAGTATTCGTCAGAGTTTTTATCTTTTAGGTAGTTTATTGTTAAATTTTCTACTTGCATGTCCTTAATTTGGTTTATTTACTCATTCTTATTTGGAAATTGATACCTAGATGCATGATTTGGAATATTAGATGAATACTAATCTAATTTTCTTATAATGAAACTTAAAAGTAATTGTACTACAAGAACCTACATTCTTATTCGTGAACGAAAGCAAGTTGAAGCTATTCAACATGGGAGCACATCTGTAATACACACTTTTTATATATTAAAAGATTGCATTATTTGAATGCAATTATACTTCCCACTTATAAATATACATAAAATTGATAATCCTTGTGCATCCATGCAGTGAACTAACAGAAGAACAAACCAAACTATCAAAAAGATAATTAACCAAGTAAATTAGCCTCTATGGCAAGATCAATTCATCACTTGTACTTTCAGTCACTATATTCAAATGAAATACAAACTTAAAGTATAGCTCAATAGTATCGGTGATTCAGTACCCAGCTACCGGAACTCTAGCTGCAGCATTAATAGATAATAAAAGTAATTAGGCTTAAACTATGAGAAGACTTATACAATTTTTCAGATTAAATGTCACATCATTTTTTGAGTAAAAATTCATTTCAAGGATGGATTCCAAATGGCAATGAAGCTTAAACATTTTAAAACATATGCAAAGTGAGACATAGAAGAAATATAGGAAAAGGGAGAAAATGATATTAAATAATTGTGTTGGTACTCACTTATGGAATAAGTGAGATGAATAATGAGAGGATATATGTTTATGTTCAAGATACAGTTAACAATATTTGAGTTCTTTCTGCTTAAGTAGTTATTAGACTTGAAAATACCAAATAAGGACAAAGCAGTACAATCATTAGAGTGAATTTCATCCAAATAAAGCTTTGTGTTCGAATAGGAATTACATGAATGGTAAATTTAGTTGTACCATATCTATAGCTAATGTATCATATAAGTTTCAATTATGCATACGACTAATTGAGGCATCCTAGTTCAGTTCATATTGCCGCAAAGAGGAAAGTTAAGACACCCACATTTGTCTATGAAATGCCATAAAAAGAAATTAAATTAAGATAAATAAAAGGGACACATCTATACAAAAAAAAAAAGTAAAGCTTATTTTTTCCTTGGCAATTACCTTCGCGATTTGATAATCTTGGGAAGATACGATTTTTGAAGGATAGAACTAAAAAGATTAGAAACCTTAGTGTGCACCAAGTCGATACAAAAGCAAAATTAGAAGAAAGATAAGTCAGTTGAAAAATTGAATATAGAGGTGAAATGTTTTAAAAGTTTGTATCCATTGTTAAAGGTGTAGTTTTTACCCTAGAACAACTGCTCAATAAACTAAACAAAAGCAGAACACTGAAATTATTTTTTCAAAAAAAGGGACCTAAAATTGAAAGGGTGTGAAAAGAATGTCAATGTACCTGAAGGACGGCTTAGAAATTGGTGAATCTAAAATCAGCCCTTTCTCCTGGTTTGGCCTGCTTGATATTCTACCGCTGGAACTTGAACATTCTTTGTCACATAAGCCTCCTTACACGTGAATTGATCCCCAAGAACATAATTTACATGTATAGAGAATAAGAATTAACAGAATTAGCCATTTCAAACCTCTAATTGTAAATGACGAAAGGAAAATCTTAAAGCAAATATCATGTTGCAAGAAAAAAGAGAAGAATTGGAAATTGGAATACAGAGAAAGAGGATAGAAATGAAATAGACCGAAGAAGAAAGAATGGACCAAATGGGCTTTCATGCCCCTAATAATCCAGTTTAAGACCTTAATCATTATTGGGAATGGTTGTTTGTATGTTTCTCTTTTAACACCTGGTAATGGGAAATTCTCTGATCCTTACCTTTTTTTTTTGTATAGCTCCTTGGTGAGAGTCCCTCTTTTTTGAGTACTCTATCGATTGATTCCTGGACACTCCAGTAGCCTGCAATAGGTCTGTTTCCTTATCTGACTCATCTTCTGTTATTTCCTTTAAAGATTCCTCCTCCTCTATACAAGTCTCATCTGGGCATTCATCTGGCTCACTCAGGGGTGTACCCTGTATCTCAGTTTCTTTGCTTGTTTCCCCTATGTCTGCTACTTTCTGCTTCTGGGGATCATCCTCATTCATTAACTATTAAACTTGTTGAAAGTAATTTCTTCTTTCTCTATTATAGGGGTATGCTTCTTTGTCCTCGAGTTGTTTTGTTTCTGGGTCCTCCACTGCATCTCTTCCTCTTTTCCTTTCTCAAGTATCTTGGAATAGCAAAATTTGAAGTTCTTTAGGTTCCTTAATAAGAATGTCTTTCCTTCCTCCTCCTATAAGCAAATTTTCTTGTGCTATTTCATTAATAAAAAAAATATTACTGGGGTGTGTTTGTTGAGGTACTATTAACTCCCTGTCCCTTCTCCATAGTTGATTCCATCTGTCCTGAGGTTGGTTTCATTGCCTTCCTAGTGCTGGTGCCTTTAGCATTAGAGGTGGTTTATCCATACCAAAAATAGCACATGTTGGTTTGTAAGCTTGTTTAGGAGGTGCACTCCGGCCTCTTTTAGAAATATTATTATTGCTTCTTTTGACCATCTTTGACAGACTCGTCACTAACTGATCCAATAAATCACTTTTGAGATCTCAACTCAAGTAGTCACCACTCCAGAATAATGCTGTACACAAACACAAATTTTATTTCAGGTGAAAGAAATTTTACTGGATCATCCATTAATAACAAAATGCTAGAACATAAATAGTAGAGCAATGATCACTCTTCAAATTCAAATAAATATAAATATATAGCTGAGTAATGGAAGTCAAAGAAAACCTGGAACTATTGCAGTTTTCGTCATTTTTGAAATAAAAAATCAAAGCCATCTTATATGAAATAATATAAACTCAAATTGTCCTAAGAAGTGCACGCACATATGAGCTATTATGTCAGATACAAGTAGACGATAAGGCCTGCTAATTCGTCCATCAAGACAGGCACATACACTACACAAGCTTGTTCACTACACCATTCAGTTCCCTGTATGCACATCTCTTTTGTATGGAAAGTTTAAGGAGAGGGCATCTTGCAACTGAAACACTTCATATAAATTTGGGTTCATGAGCGAGATTTCAAAAATATTATTTTCAAGTGTGTATAATACAACATTCAAATTTCATAAATAAATTGGCTCTAATGTTAGGTGCAACTGATAATTAAAACTTATAAACCTCCCCTTAGTTACCTCTCATAGTTCAATTTATTTCACACCCAAAATTTTATATTCGTGAATGCTGGGAAGTGCAAGATGATTTTACCAGATTGATTTTCAGTTTGACAAAGAGAGTAACATGTTCTAGAGCTCTTAGCCATCTCACAGTGAAGAAAAAGGTGACTTACTGTTTCCTTTCTCTCAAACATCAAATGTCAGAGTTGCTTCACAGGCTACTCCAACTGAAGAAATCCACTTTTAAGGTATCTTCCTCACCATATTGCCTTCAGGGATCTAACTGCATCATTTACTAACAAATGACTGGAGTAGAAAGATTTCATACTTCCCCAGAATCTACCAATCTCATCACCTGGCCAAAGATTAGCAAAAATTAGCAGTACTAAATACTACATAGAATTAGAGCAAAGATCTAACCTCCAACGGTTACTCTCAACCCCTAGCTAACACTTGCAACATAAAAACTGGATGAAAATTAGCGAAAATCTAACCCCAAAAATTATTGTGAGATAGATTTAAAACATGCAGCACAAAAGTATTCTAATTAAATACAAAAGATTAGAATAGTACAACAATATTTACCATAATTGATAGCATTCATGGCAGCTCAACATCATTAAAGGAGAAGGATGAAGCTCTGGAAGCTCCAAGAAGGCCCATGACAAGGTCTCAAACAAAGAAATTTCAAGGCAAACTTAACAGGCTTCAACTGGCAATTAAAAAGTGTCTTATAATAGAAGAAGAGCTCCAGCACAAGGAGGATCTTTGGCCAAGTCTTACAACTATTTTAAGGCCAAAATTAAAGTCCAAGAGGAGATGGAATGAGGCCCAAATATGCCCCAAAAGAGAGGAATTTTCAGCAGCCCAAATAAGCCCAAAAATAGTTTCTAGAATATATATTTAATAGTTGTTTTAATCTATGTTGACTTGCATTGGTCTATGTGTATGTTGACTACATTGGTCTTAGTGTGGGTAGTCTTCTATGCTTCTAGGGAATATAATTCTCATTTATTGAAGTCTTGACTAGCTCCTTCTTTACTACTATATAAAGGGGTGCTTGTCTTCCATTGTAGAACATTATCGAAGATTAATATTATTATTGTGAGTTCTTTTGAACCTTTGTGAACTTTACTTTGAAGATTTATCTTGCAACCCTAACTAGTTCATAGCTTAAGGTAGTAAGATAATTTTCTTTCTTGTGATATCTTTGGTTTCTTTTGATATTCTTCGAAGGCGACTAGTTTCTTTTACTAGTTGTTGTCGTAAGTTATTCAAACTAGAAAACAAGATCCGAATCTAGTTCTTGATTAGCTTATCTCTAGTGAAGGCAATTGGTTTTATAACCAACTTGTTGTCATTAGGATCTTGTCAAAATCTAGATTAACATAATCTCGGGGTTCTTGGACCTTTCCTTGAATTTCGACATATCTAGTTTATTTTTCTTGCTTTTCTTAATCCGCTTGCATTTCTTTACTACTTCCGTATTTCATCAACTTATTTTCTTTAAGTTCTTGGATCTCCCAACCTTTGTGTTATCAAGTGGTATCAGAGCGGTTGTATCAAGATTCCGTTCTTGATAAATCTTGGGGATTTCTTGAACAAAGGAGCAAAAAGAAAATGTTACTGTAGTAGTGAATAGTACGCTATAAAAAAAAGAAAAAAAAAAGAAAAAAAAAGGGAGAAACATATTTGCTCTTGAAGAAATCAGATTTTTGTTTGTGTTTGTTTCCAAAGTCAAGAAAGGAAACAAGGAGAGGGGATCCTAGATCTTTAAGAATAAAAAAAATCAATTTTTCTAATCCTTTGATCTTGTTCTAAAAAAAAAAATCCTTTTCTTTGTTCGAGGTTTGTTTCAACTAAATCCTACTCTTTCTAGGATTCGTTCTTCACTTTCTTTAGTGCCCCAAAATTCCTTATTTTACTATTGAGGGCTTTGATACGAGTTGGGTTTAATTATAAATCTACAAGGTATTTTCCAAAGGTTAGTTGAGGGGAAAAAGGCAAGAGTGGGTGAGAACAATAGAGGGAAAGAGCCAAAATTTGAGTGATAACTACAATTATTTTTTTATTATTTTAAGAAAGATGTCTCATACAGGTGTTAGTGATGATGAACAGAGGACTCTTCAAGAAGCCGAAATCCGAGCAAGAAATGATTTCACTCTACAAGCTATGCATCAACAATTCGAGAGATGGAACTTGCAATTCCAAGAGATAAGGGATACTATTGCCGAACAAAATGAGACAATAGCTGCACTTAGGAGGGGAAATCAACCTGATGTACAACCTCGAAATAATCCTAGGCCTCTTAATAGAAGAAATGTACCCCATGCCCCCATTGTAAATCAAGAAAACCCTATAGATGATTTTGTTGATGATCTTGATGTAAATCTAGATAGGGTGGGAAGAGATAGGAGGGGACAACGAGGTAGAGTAGAAGATGATAATATTAGCAGCATAAAAATGAAGATGCCATCTTTCAAGGGCACAAGAGACCCAGACTTGTACCTTGACTGGGAGCGGAAAGTTGAGGCCATCTTTGATTGTCACCACTACTCTGAAGGTAAGAAGGTTAAGCTTGCTGTTGTTGAATTTTCTGATTATGCTTCTATTTGGTGGAAAAAGCTTACAAGAGACAGACAACAAGATGGAGAACCACCCATTGCTACTTGGACCGAGATGAAGAGAGTCATGAGGAAGAGGTTTGTGCCTTCCCACTTTCAAAGAGACCTACAACTGCGTCTTCAAACTTTGAAGCAAGGAACCATGACTGTTGATGAATACTTTAAAGCTATGGATATGGCTATGATCCAAGCTAATTGTATGGAAGAAGAGGAGGCCACTATGGCTAGATTTCTTAATGGTTTAAATAGAGAAATAGCTGATGTAGTAGAGATACAACAATATGTAACTATAGATGAATTAGTAGATTTGGCTGTAAAAATAGAAAAGCAAAATAAAAGAAGGCAGCAAGCTAGCTCATGGAGAAGTCGGCCAAACACCAATTCCAAGAAGCCATGGCCAAAACAAGAAGTGATTTCTAGACCTCAAAAAGACAAG